TTTCTGAATATAGCATTGTTCATTAATCTTTTTTGAAGGCATTTTTTGCATCATGATATTGTATTGTATTAGCTATAATGTATGGTTCTAACCATAGAGACTGATCAAATTCTAATACTCAATAAACATGTTCGAGTTCCATTCCTAATTTGAGACATTGCTAGAGATTTTGATAATAAATGATATATTGGTTTTTAGTCTCCAATGTTACCACTAATTTTTCTGTCTCCGCAAATTTCCCACCACTTAGTTTATCAATTAGGTCATTATTTAGGTATGGACTAAGCTCATTTCGCTTAACTATTCGACTGCCTTATTTTGCAGTTGGTGATATAGATTGTATGTCTGGCAAATTATCTAGATCAAGCCATCTGAATCCTCCTGTCGATAAATATTGTGACATAGCCTATTCCCAGTGATGTACATTTCCTATGTCCTAAGCATTTGCTATTCCAGTTATATGTTTCAACTATATGTCCTAACTATGTTCTATATATATCCCAAATATCCTATCTGTTCTATTAATATCCTATCAGTGTCCTATCAGTGTCCTAACTATATCACATAACAATACTGCCCATCCATATAAATTATTGGCATCTAAATATAGGTGCCATTTATTTACCTTATGTTTATAGCTTTCATTTCAGGAAAATTTGCTTTTGCTAAACGTTGTGAAGCCATAGAATTTCTGCCTCGCATCTAGCGTTGAACAATTTTATGCATATCTTCTTGCCCTTTATGGGGTGGCTAAAGCCGTGTTCGATCACGTGATTAGTTGATCAGTGGAGTCATGCCAGAAAACCAGCTGTAAAATTTTCAATTTCAATAATATAAAAATAAAAATAAAAATAACCTCTTTTCAAGCTACCCACCCTATAACGATCTTTAGCATAATGAAAGACTTCTATATTACAGAAGTTCTAAATTTCTTGTTTATCAGTAAAAGGAGGGAAGTTTTTCTTCGAAGTTTGTTTTATATTTGTTAAGTCTTTTTTTTCGAAGTTTTTGGAAATTGTTTTTTCTTATAAAATATAATATTAGAAGAGAAAGTTCCTTTTTTTTTTCGAAATATAATATCGGGTGAGAAATTTATTTTTCTTTAGATTTTTTTGAAAAGGTGTTTTTTTTTTCTTTAGAGTTTCTCTGAAATTTTTTTTTATTCTCCAAAGTTTTTTTTTTATCCTTCAAAATTTTTTTTAATACTTATCACAAATAATGATCCCGTTTGCATTTAATATAATAAAAATACCTATATCTGAAGCCTCAATTCCTAATCAAAGACGTAACCTTCTTTTTAATATTAAACAACCATTTGACCTTTCAATAAAAGAATTTGATAAGGGGTGGTGGCCTCTTGTGTCAAATATATGGACTGGGTTTAGCTATAAAAATAATGTTAATGGAACTCTTGGAAAGTTTTCGTTTGTCGGTTTAATAAGCATAATAAGTCAAGTATTCAAAAAGAAGGCATTCCACATGAAAAACGTCGTATAATAAAAATTCAGCTGGCTAACATATGTTTCGCAAAAATCAAAGTTCAACGTTATGTTTCTGAACAGAAAGTACAAATTGAACGATTTAATGACTCACCTGATCATTCACACTCTCTAGAGGAAAGTGAAAAGCTTAAACATTCACAGTTTGTTCAAGATTTAGTTATACAAGAAGCTCTAAAAAATTACTGACTGCAGAAATTGTAAGCGCAGTAAAGGAATATGCAACCGAAAATTTGGATTTAAAAGAAAGCGTGAAGGAGTTGAGACGGAAGGAGATTATGAATATAAAATTTAAAGTGCGTGGATCACTTGATGCACATCTTATTGGCAACCCTAAATGAGAATTAGATATTCGAGAGGCCATTTTCTTCTTGGAAAAACAAGAATATTTAGTTGAATATTATGAAGTTTCCTATCTATCCACCTATGGTTTCGTTTTTATACATCCTAATCAACTTAAAAATCTTGAGAAACATGACTGGTTAACCCTTATAGACTTTACACATAAGACCAATAAATATGATTGTCGCTTGTTCACCTTATATATTCGTAATTCTTATGGATGTTGGGATATCAGAACTCACTTTTTCGTAAGTAACGAAAACAGTGATACTGTTACAGAAAACTTGAAGATAATTAGACAATTTGCACAAAATTGGAATCCAAGATATTTTCTCTCTGATCAGAGTAATATAGAATCTAATAAATAGTATTAAAATGGCTTTTCCAGGTCTTAAAAATAGCGAATAAGAATGTGATATTTTTTTTTGCACTGTTCATATAATGCAAATCTGGATGAGTAGGATTTATGATAAAAAAACGCAACAAAAAATGAACTATGCTATGCACAAAAGAATTAGGATTGGTTGTGAAAATGTTATTCAACAAGCAATTAATGAATTCCCAAATCCAACAATTAAACAATATATTTTAAGAAATTATATGAAGAATATGTATCAGTAGGCATTATTGGCACGATAACATTCTCCTCTTCTTTTACAAGTGACTTCGACAAATGCTCTAGAATTATACCATAGTGAATTAAAGAGAACAACTTCTCTGCAACATAGTTTAATTGGTAGGTATATATTTATATTATGAATTTTATTTACATTATACTATATAATTAATCAAAATTTTAATAAATTTATCAAGTGCATGTCATAAGATAGTTGCATTTGATGAAAAAAAACGTTTTGATTCAGAACATATTGCTTATGAATTTCGCATTAAAAGAATTTCAGCTATTGAGCTTGATCTTGATCATCTTTTTTGCCATGCTCGTATTTTCTTTATTTCAATTAACTAAATTCTATTTCTTTTTTTGTATTTGTGAAAAATACTGTAATAATTAGTGTTCTGCAAAAAATCTGATTCAATCCAAATCTGATTCAATCCAAATCTGATTTGAATTTGACAGATCAGATTGAATCAGATTTATCAGATTCGAATCAGATTCAGATTCAGATTTTGATTTGATTTAATCTGTCAGATCTGGATTAGATTCAGATTTGGATTTGATTCAATCTGACAGATTCAGATTTGGATTCAGATCTGATTTGTTGAATTTAAAATAAAAAATGTCATTCTGAAAGTCAGATATAGCATTTATTATTAAAAAAATTTAATTTTTAATAATAAAATGCTGCCTGAAAATCGAACACAGCATTTATTATTAAAAAATTAATGTTTAATAATAAAATGCCACCCTGAAATCAGATGTAGCATTTATTAATAAAAAAAATAATTTTTATTAATTTTTATATTAAAATGTTGCCCTGAAAAACAAACACAACATTTATTAATAAAAAATTGATTTTTATTTAATTTTTATATTAAAATGCCAATCCAAACGTTGAAGGTGGATTTTTGTTAAAAAAACAACAAAATTGTTGTTTTTTTAACATTAAAACGTCGTTCCAAATGTCAGAGGCTGATTTTTGTTAAAAAAATTTTTTTGGTCTGTTGGATACAGATACGAATTTGGATTTAGATTTTCTAGATTCAGATATAAATTTGTATTTGTATTTATCAGATTCAGATCAAATCAGATTTGCCCAAATTCAATCCAATTCGATCCATGCGGAACACTAGTAATAATTATTTACAATAATAATTATATTAATTATTATTTTTTATTTTTTTCTTTATAAAAATAAATATTGCAACTAAGGTAGTTACACAAACAAAAAATCGCAGCAACTCAAAAAGGCATGATCACCTTAGTTTAGTAATTCCTTCTAAAAGTTTTGAGCTGTTCAGATTGGTTTAATCCTAAATAAGAAAGTCCTGCATGCTTTGTTTTACTACCAAAAATTAACTGATAAGTAATAACTTATTAAGCTGTATAATAATTTCAAATCCTAAACCTATAAGAATTGGATAATATGTACTTTTTTGAGATTCTTCTTTAAAAAAACCCTACCAATCACATAAATATGGACCATAATGAAATTTTTTGTTATTAAAAAGGATCAATAAGTTTAAAATTAGAACACCGCCAAAAATATAATTGGCTAATTATTATTAACTACAGGTTTAGGATAAGTAGGAGCTCTAAAATCGGTGTTTGTTTTTTAAAATATCAAAACTGCCAAATTCTCCTCCCGCCTTCTTTTTGAATAAATACTTTTCCTGGTTCACTTCTTTTAAACCAAAAATGCCAATATTTTTTGAATACCAGATAATTCTTTAAAATGAGGTTTTAAAAATGATTCAAAATTGTAATACAACTACCCACTTCTCTTATTAACTACTTGTTCAACATCATCCACTATATTAATCCACGTTTTTTGAAAAAGAGCTTTAATATTACCAAAATATCCATCTGGCAAAACTTTTGTATATTCTAGAATCATAAAACTAACCTCAATAGTTTCATACATTTATATCATTGTCAACCAAAACCAAAAAAATAAAGAGATATTATTTTTATTTTGAGTTGTACAATTATCACAAGTGATTTTTAAATGTTGTTCTCCTTGATAAAATCTTCTCAAAGCATTAAATACAAGATTAATAGTTGTATCAGCTCCTTTTTCTGCAGAACCAGATGGAAACTTGTCTTCACCATTTATATAATTTAATTGCCGATCTGCATGTGATTGAAAGACATTTAATAATAGATTGTGAAGTTAAATTAATTAATAAAAAAAAACCCTAAAAAATGACAATAACGAATGCTCATATAACACCAGGAAAACTTGTTGCAACTGGTAATATTATATTAAGCTTACATATTGGAGTAAAAAAAATTTTTTGATAGTCCATGACCCATATATGCTTGTCAAATAATTGATTTATTATTTTGTGCAGGTAACTTTTGTATTCTTCGAGTATTTCATATATATAAAATAAAATCTGAAGAAATAGCCTTGTTTGGAATCAAATTAAAAGAATGAGAAAATCATCTAAAAAAAAAAATTATGTATTATATATATATTTAATCCTATCTCCATCAATTTACTAGATCCTATAACTATAAGGTTCATTCATTTTGATCTAATCACTTTGATTTTGATCGTGTGTATCTATTGTTCCTTTATTTCCTGTTTTCCTCCTTCTATTTATTGCAATTCGTTTTGTTTTTTTGTTCATTGTCGGTTTTTTAGTTTTATTTGATTTGGACTTCCTTTTCTTCCCCGAAATTTGATTATTTACATCGTTAATGTTATCCCCACCTTCATCACTAAATACAATTACTTCCTCTTCACTATCATTTTCACATTCAAGTTGATCACTATTATTTCCAGCTTGTCCCCAATGCTCTCGATCTACATCTCCACCATAATAAACAAACAATTCTTCTCCCTTTCTAATATCTCGTTTCGTCCAACAGATAACTTGATTGACTTCACCTCCTTCCAGAAATACCATATTCCCAAACGGATCCTCATTCATAAAATGAAATGGACAAAATATTGGTCCACTTGGATCTTTGTATGGTTCTCCATTCTCATCAGTAGCATCCAGAATTGTATGTTTATATCTCATGGAATAATGTGACGCCCTACCAATTTGATCCTTAACAGTATCAAACTCATCTTCCATCATTGGGACTCCAAAATAAAACCCAAGGGGTGTTGCCATTGGTAGGTTGCGTGTGGCGAATAGTCCATTACCTGCATTATGAATCGTTGAAGGACGGACTTCAACAACTTCATTTAAACTTTTTGGGACATTTGAAATGTCTAATCCATCGAGTATTTCATCAGGTAAATTAGCTTTACATATATCAGGATCCTCTGAATCCAACCTTTTTTTTTGTTCTAATAGTTGTTGCTGTAACTTTTTCTTATTTCTCGTAGCTGTAGCTGGACGTGTATCAATTTCAATGGATTGTTCCGGATATGACAGCAACGTTGTTTCACGTTTTGCTTTCAACCTTTCAATTTTTTCATGTGCACCCATTCTAAGTGGGTAAATACATAAATGTCCCCTTGACCTACACCTACCGCAAGCTGGTAATTTTGCATCACATGATTTTTCTATACATCGACGACATCGCACATGGACAGGATTGCCCGCACCAACTGTAAGCATAATCACATTTCCGTTATTAGTTAAAGTTTGACCTGTTTTCGTTAAATTATAATAAGTGTGAGTAATTTTTAATTTTTAAAATGCACCCATTTGAAAAATATTTTTCCTTCAAATATTTTTATTTACCAGTCCTTGATTTCTTTGATTTTCCAAAACACAGTACCCAATCATGTTCGATTATGCCTTGCATCCATTGACTATAACGACGGATTGCATCATCACGATCGTTCGGAATAAATGAGAGTTTATAGAAGATGGTATGTTGCTTTGAGTCTTTTTTAAATATTCTAAAATATTTGTCTGCATTTGTTGTCAAACAAGAGCTAGCGGAATTTCTCGGCGTCTATCATATTACATAGAAAAGAAAAAGAGTATAAAAATGATTAAATAAAAATCAAAAAAGTAATTAAAAAAAAGAACAAAGAACAAAGAGAAATGGGAACGTTTCAAGTCATGAGGCATAGTAAATCATATGATCCGTAATGTGATTTTACTGGAAACGCTCCCAAATGTTCATTTACTCACTTGACCAGTAAAACATCGTTGCAAGCCTGTTTCAACACTACATTTTTCATCCAAGGAAATAGCAGCTTCAATTAAATCACCACGTGATAATGTATTATCTGGAGCCCTTTGCAAAGCTAAAAATATCATATATTGTTGATTATGCCATCGAGGTCGAGGTTTTTTATTATTATCTGTATGAAATCCGCTTGGAAAGAAATCACTCATAAGCTTTTGAACATTATTCTGATCTTGAGGAGTTACATAAGTTTCAATTAAATCTTTGAATCTATAACCCAATGAAAAAGAAAAGTCCTGTACAGATTTGATGAAAATTTCTATACAGTATTTTTGCTCCTCTTCTAAAATTACTCTTCTAGAGATGTCAGATAAATGTGGATATACAACATAAACCTTTTTTTCGGAATTGTAGTTTGCAGTACAATCCTTAAGAAATGAGGAAATCGTTTCGCGGGTGTCAGTCCAATCCTTATTAGATCGTTGCAAAACAACATTTGCCACATCCATAAAGTGTGGTTTAAATTTAATTCTTGAAAAAGTCTCTATTGGCAAAAGAATTGAAATCAAATATTTTTTCAAATGATTTGTCCTTTCACCAGAAATCACATCAGGATGTGGAGTGATGTTGAGTAATCTTTCAATCAAAAATATCCGGTCTTTATCATTGATCTGGGACAACCTATTAATCGCACATGCAAAGGCGAACAATGGGATTGAGGACAAAATCCTTATGCAAATGTCCTTTAGCATGTCCCTTATTATTTCATTCCAAGGTATTTCGACGTTTATATTATTCTGGAAGATAGGTTTAATACGAGGTTCCAACCACAGTTGTAACGTGCTCGACAACTCAACCTTTTTCTTTCTAATTTTGTTGTTTTTCATGCTAAAAGCAAATATATTGTGTATTTTTTTAAAAACACCGGGGGAAATCTTTCTATTACGATGAAAAGTTAATATTCGCGTTTTAAACGCTTCGCTTTAGGTTTTTGATGCTTTGAGTTAGTGAAATTATATCAAGTCGAAATGAAATTAATTTTTAAAATATGGGGTTTGTTTTGTATTTTAAATGTTGAACGTGTCAATTGTACTAATCATCGTAAATTAGCATAATTTGTTTAGGTAAGTTTAATGCGATTAATATCACATGACAATAACAAATACTACGCTATCATATTTCCAATTTTAATCAAATTATTTATGTTATAAAATAAAATAAAATGAAGTAATTTATATTCTAAATCGAGGAATTTTATCCATTTATTACTTACTATATATAACAGAGTAATTTTTCATTTTCTTTTAAACAATAGCCCTGTTCATTTCTAGATCGGACTGGATCGACCGAAAAAAAATGTAACCAATCATATCGAAGTTACAATTGAG